TCTCTAGCCATCTCCTTCTGCCCCTTCCCCTGCTCTGCTCGTGTGTGTGTGTGTGTGTGTGTGTGTGTGTGTGTGTGTGTGTGTGTGTACTCTAAAATAAAATATGCTTAAATATTTTTCATTGTCCATGCTATTTACTGCACTACCTCTTTCTGTCAACCACCAAACTTCTTAAAGAGCAATCTATAACCATGGTTTCCATTTCTTCACTCACTTCTTCCTTAATCCTTCACAAGTAGAATTTTACCTCCACACTCTGGTAAGTGAATTAGGTTATCATTTCCTTCTTAATGATCAAATGCACCCTTTTCTCACTCTTTCTTACTCTTTCTCACTCTTTCTCATTTCTCAACCTTTCTTCAGCACTTGATGTTGTCTACCCTTTCTTTCCTGAAACTTCTCTCTTTTGGCTTTTATTGTTATTGAATACTTCTGACTCTTCCCCTATCTCGTTGATCTCTTTTTTTCTTTTTGCTAATTCCCTCCCTCCTTCAATTCGTCTACCGTTGTCCTTCTTTTTTGCTATATTCTCTCCTCTAACAATCTCATCTACTTCAGAGGTTTGTCTCCCTTGAGAACAGTTCCCAACTGTGTCTTGTAGGCTGCAGATCTGCATATCCAATTACCTGCTAGCTATCTCTACCTAAATGTCTTTTTATTCTTCACACACAACATTCTGAACACAAACTTGTAGTCTGTTTCTCCTCTTTTCTGTAACCAGCCCTTCTTGGCTTTACTGCAGGTGGCCATAAAAATCCAGAAATACAGATAAATATACATTAAATGGCTTACTGCTATTGCACTATGTGACATGTTCAGTGTGTTTTCCTTCATCAGCAAGGCATAGTTTAATGTACTGTTTAAAACTGCAGTGAACGTGGCACATTAAAATAGCATTTTCATCACTTCTTGCACATGTATCTGTGATGTGTTGATGTGTTTATATGTTTGACTTTTACTGAATAAAACTGTGTCTTTATATTCTTTGAAGAAATAATAATCAAGGGGGTTTGATCTATTTCTACTTTATGGACACTTTATATTTCTATTATTTGTACCATTATTCTTCTACACATCCAGATTCAAAAAATCTTAGAGTCTCCCTGTTCCCTGAATCTAGACTTTAGCCAAGTCTATCTAACTTTGCTTATAGCATTACTTACCCCAATTTGAGAAGTCCAGGACAAGAATGCTAAGAGAATTGTCAGCTCTTAAAATTCTGTAAAACATTGCAAATTTCCACAAGTGTCATCTCCATTCCGCCTACACAGGAGCCAATGTCCCCAAACCATCCATTCCTAGAACAGAAGTGAGGCCTTGATGCCATATTCATCTCCGCCAACACCAGACATGTGGCCAGATTTCACAGGGGTGACCCGTGGATATACTGCCATCTTAGAAGCTGTGAGACCAGAGCAGACACAGGTGTTAAGTGGGAGCTGGCCCCACATTCCTTCAGACTAATCTGTACCTGAGCGACAGCTACAGTCTGATACTGGTGACAGCCATTAGCAGGACTGTCATACCCTGGAGCCTTGTTTTGAGCTTCCCTGTTATACTCCCAAGGCTTTGTCTAGGGACTGCATTGGGTGGAGGAGTTGTAAAGGTGGGGGAGGGGGAATGCAGAGGCCCTGTAGACTGGAACAGTGGAATGCATGCCTAGGGCATACAGCCAGCAGTCTCCTTTCCTGGAGGCTCTAGTGGAAGCCGTAGTATTTTTTTGTTTGTTTGTTTAAATTTTAGTTCACATACAGTGCAATATTGGTTTCAGAAGTAGAATTCAGTGATTGATCACTTATAACCTATAACACCCAGTGCTCATCCCAAGTACCCTCCTTAGTACCCATCACTCATCTAGCCCATCTCCCCACCTATCTCCCCTCCATCAACCCTTAGTTTGTTCTCTATCGTTAAGAGCCTCCTGTGGTTTGTTTTTCTCTCTCCTCTTTCCACCCCCACTCCACCCCAGTCTTCCCCCATATTCATCTGTTCTGTTTCTTAAATTCCACATATGAGTGAAATAACATATTTGTCTTTCTCTGATTGAGTTATTTTGCTTAGCTTAATACATTCTAGCTCTTTCTGGCCAAGTCTTTAAAAATGTTTCTTGCATGGGGGACCTGGGTGGCCAGTCACTTGAATGTCCAACTCTTTGATTTCAGCTCAGGTCATGCTCCCAGGGTCGTGGGATTAAGCCTCGCATCCAGCTCTGCACTGAGCATGGAGCCTGCTTAAAATTCTCTTTCTCTCTCCCTTTGTCCCTCTCCCCCACTCGTGCTCTCTCTCTCTCTCTCTCTAAAATGAAAATAAATATTTCTTGCAAAAGTTTTTCTTTTTCTTTTACTGCCTTTTCCTACTTAATTCAAGTTCTTAGGACTCCTCTTCTGAATCATTTTAGTAGCCTTCTGACCAGTCTTCATGCCTCTACTTTCTTATGTTCCCGTTTGTCTTAGAGTACAGTCCTGAATCTGTCACTTCCTAAGTTAGAAACCTTCAGTGGTTTCTTCAGTGACATAAGATTTACATTCCATTCTGATTTTTTTTTTTAATAATAGCCCTTTGCAATTACATTCTTGTTAATGGATTGTAAGGTGCTTGGAGGCTTGATTACACATGTTTATCATTGTATCTTAGGTGTTCTCTGTCTAGTTTAATGCCATACATGTAAAAGTGTTCAAACAGTATTCTTAAGTTGATATTAGCATGTTAGCTAAGAAACGTCACTATAGGGGCACCTGGATGGATTAGTTGGTTAAGCGTCTGACTTTGGCTCAGGTTATGATCTCATGGTTGGTGGGTTCGAGCCCCAGATAAGGCTTGCTGCTGACAGCTCAGAGCCTGGAGCCTGCTTCAGATTCTGTGTCTCCCCCTCTCTCTGCCCTTCCCCCACTCACACTCTGTCTCTCAAAAACGAATAAACGTTTAAAAAAATTAAAAAAAGATGTCACTGTAATAAACACATTGGAAATATTGTTTGATATAAGTGGGAAAGGAAAATATTTTTTCTAGCTCTGATGCCTTTCTGGGAATATTGTGTACACAGTCAAGGACAAAGAATAGTCAGCATTTCTCGGAAAGCTAGAACAATGTAAGCACAATTGACATTCTGTTTCTCTCATTTACTGATGAAGGACTAGCTGAAACTTATTAATTCTTATTTCCCCAGGTCAAGGCAAAACTTAAGCAAAATCCTTCAGAAACTACAGTGCGTAAAAAGCAAGAAGATACCTCGTTAATGAAATCTAATAACCAAGAAGTCACCATTTTCTCAGGTTCTCATCTTCCCCAGCCCAACAGGCATCAAAAAATCTGGTCTACCCTAGAGAATGTTTGGACAACATTATATCAGAACAGGTACTAAATTTCTAAGAATTTTTGAATTCTAGGGTTTTCCATCATTGCTGTTATTCATTGGACAGTTAGTGTTTGGGCTGTGAGTTGAATGCATTAGATTACCTTACTGAGAGGCTTTTACCAACTCGGTGCTTTAGAAACAGTGATGCTTAAATAGGGATGCAATCAGATTCACCTGGAGAGTTTTAAAAATATATATGCCTAGGCTCTGTCCCTAGAAGTTCTGATTCGGTCTGCTAAGACTGAGCTGACACTGCAATAGTGCATAAAAAAAAAAAAAAAAAAAAAAAAAAAAAAAAAAAAAAAAAAAAAAAAAAAAAAAAAAAAAAAAAATCTCTCCAGGTGATTCAGATGTGAACTCTTGATGAGAGGCATTTCCCATGTATGTCAAAAACCAGTGAAGGCCACCTAGATTGGCTGAACAAATTAGCAGGATACAAAGCCTTAGTAAAATTTATTTAAAAAAAAATTTTTTTTTAACATTTATGCATTTTTTGAGAATGAGAGAGACAGAGCATGAGCAGGGAAGGGGCAGAGAGAGAGGGAGACACAGAATCAGAAGCAGGTTCCAGGCTCAGAGCAGTCAGCACAGAGCCTAACATGGGGCTCAAATGCCTGGATCATGAGATCATGACCTGAGCTGAAGTTGGACGCTTAACCGACTGAGCCACCCAGACGCCCCTAAAGCCGTAGTAAAATTTAAAATAATCTAAGAAAATGTCGTTTTGGATTAGGGAAAATTCATATAAGGCTTTTTGAAAAGGAAGATAAATATTTTTATTCAAAAGGAAAAAATGCAGGGCGCCGGGGTGGCTCAGTCGGTTGAGTGTCCCAACTTTTCAGCTCAGGTCATGATCTCACAGTTTGTGAGTTCGAGCCCCACGTAGGGCTTGCTGCTGTCAGCTCAGAGTCCACTTCAGATCCTCTGTCCCACTCTCTCTCTGCCTCTCCCCTACTCACACGTGTGCTCTCTCTCTGTCTCAAGATTAAACATTTTTTTAAAGAAAGGAAGAAATGCTTTTATTCCTTTGATACACATGAAATACTGTGTTCCTGGTAAAATGAAAAGATAGAGACCAGTTGTGAGTAGTTCTTTAAATGCTGCTGGAGTTAGGGGCGCCTGGGTGGCTCAGTCAGTTAAGCGGCCGACTTCGGTTCAGGTCATGATCTCGCGGTCAGTGAGTTCAAGCCCCGCATCGGGCTCTGTGCTGACAGCTCAGAGCCTGGAGCCTGTTTCAGATTCTGTGTCTCCCTCTCTCTGACCCTCCCCTGTTCATGCTCTGTCTCTCTCTGTCTCAAAAATAAATAAACGTTAAAAAAAATTTTTTTTTAAATAAATGCTGCTGGAGTAACTTAAAAAATAATTTAAAACAACTGATTTTAAAGTAGGCCAACAGTCTCTCCCATACTTTCTCCCAAACCCATAACCTTTATATAATTTTATATATATTATATAATTTGCCAGTCATACTGTATGCGGTTTAGTGTGATTTTGGTTCAAGGGTCCAGTGTGACTGTTATTTTAGATTAATACCATCTGTCCTAGCAGCAAAGGAATAGGAGCACTCTTCTTAACCATCTATTCTCTATTTACAACACTGTAGATTGAGGGCCCATTTTTAGCCCTTGGAATTTTGTGTTTTCTTATAAAGCAAAGGTTTTGTGTGTTTGTTTTGTCCAGTCTTAACATATTTGTAATGTTTTGGCTAATCAGAGATTCTTGTTAGCTGAAAGTTACCATATATGCTAGGCAGAAATTATCACTTTCAAAATAAAATAGATTAAAGCCATTTGTAAGATGCTTTAATCTTCTCTTCATTTAGAAAATATTTGAATACTGCAGCACCTGTGTGGCTCAGTTGGTTGAGCATCCGATTTTGGCTCAGGTCATGATCCCAGGGTCAAGGGATCAAGCCCTGTGTTGGGCTCTGCCCTGAGCGTGGACCCTGCTTGAAATTCTCTTCTCCTTCTCCCTTTGCCCCTCACCCCTGCTCACACACTCTCTCTCTAAAAAAACAAAACAAAACATGGGGCGCCTGGGTGGCTCAGTTGGTTAAGCGTCCGACTTTGGCTCGGGTCACAATCTCGCAGTCCGTGGGTTCGAGCCCCGCCTCGGGCTCTGGGCTGATGGCTTGGAGCCTGGAGCCTGCTTCCAATTCTGTGTCTCCCTCTCTCTCTGCCCCTCCCCCGTTCATGCTCTGTCTCTCTCTGTCTCAAAAATAAATAAAACGTTAAAAAAAAATTAAAAAATAAAAACAAAACAATTGAGTACTTTTTTACCTTGGAGTTGACCTATAATATATATACGTTTGTGGTGGATGTTAGAATTCTGGGTAATTTCTGTGTAATAGACTTTACTTTGTAGTATTTCAGTACATGAAAAATGCTTATATTGCTTTATCAGTGCATGGTTATTAAAGCCCACTTCATTGCTTCTCATGCCTGATTGTGTACCAGAGTCACTGTATAATTTTCCAATATATTCATGCTTGAGCCTTTCATGCAGAGATGCTCATTTGAAGGTCTGGTAGGCCCTATGTATTTTATGCTTTGAAATACTTTTTCTTTTGGAAAGGTAAAGCTGTACTTATTAACAATTGCATTTCTTTAGATTTTCTAAGTTTTCCCTTTTGCAGACCTGTCAAAATGGTCACCTTTTTCATATATCACTTCTGCGAATGTGGAAAAACAATTTTTTGGTTCTTCAATGCATTAAATATATAATCACCATGTGACCCAGCAGTTCCATTCACAGAGCTATACCCAAATGAACTGAACACAAGTGTTCAAACAAAAACTTACATATGAATGTTCACAACCATTTGCTATAGCCAAAGTGGAAACAACAGATCCACTGCCCATCAACAGATGAATGGATAAACAAATTGTGGCCTATCATAAAATGTTTGTATCTATAAAATGGAATCTTTCTCAGTCATAATAATGTATCGACATCCATTATGACGTGAATGCATATTGAAAACATGCTAATTGAAGGAAGCCAGACACAAAGGTCACGTGGTATATAATTCCATTTATTTGAAATATCCATAGTAGGTAAATCTGTCGAGCTAGAAAATGGATTAGTGGTTACCAGGAACTGGGGGGAGGGAGGAATGATGAATGACTGCTTAATGAATACAGGATTTCCTTCTGGAGTGATGAAAATAGTCTTGATTAGATAGTGGTGATAGTTGCAGACAGTGTGAACTACCAAATGCCACTGAATTTGGAACACTTTAGAATTGTTAAAATGGTAATTTTATGTTTTACCACAATTTTTTTTAAATTTTATTTATTTTGAGAGAGAGAGAGAATGTGAGCAGGGGTGGGGCAGAGTGAGAGGGGGAGAGGGAATCCCAAGCAGGCTGCATGCTGTCAGCACAGAGCCTGATGTGGAGCTTGATCCCACAAACTGTGAGATCATGATCTGAGCCGAAATCAAGAGTCAGACATTTAACCAACTGAGCCACCCAGGCACCCCTATTTTACCACAATTATTTTAAAAAGTGCTTTGGAAAGTACTGTGAAGTAGGGGAGAAAATTCCCTTGAATGCTACTACCTAAAGGTAACCCAGTAGTTAACATTGTTACTGTTATGTACACCCAGCTTTGTTTTTAGGCATGTATATTAGTTTCCTGGGGCTGCCATAGCAAATTACCACAAGCTAGATGGTTTACAATCATAGAAATTTATTCACTCACAGTTCTGGAGGCTGTAAAGTCTGAAATCCAGGTGTCTGTAGGCTCTATTCTATTGGGAAGTTTGACTAAGATCTTAAGGTCACATTCTGAGGTTCTGGGTGAACATGAATTTGGGGGGCATGCTGTTCAACCCAGTACAGCATATGTTTTGACTTTTTATATGGTGGTTGTTATGTTATATAAATAAATTTTGTATACCTTTATGTTTCTAATGTATAGATGGCGTATTATTTTAATTGTTCTTTGTTATTATGTCAGGTGGCTAATTCACTATTTACTTAGCACTTTTTATATTGCTGAACATTTACATGATTACTAATTGTTTACCAAATGCAAAATTATTATTAACATGTGGTAGATTTCTAAAATTGGAATGATCAGAGTAAAGTATATTAACATTTATAACTTCTAGTTTCAGCAAACAGGTAAATCTGCATCTTTTCTGCATCCTTATGTACTGGAGCACTGACAATACTTATATACTGACCTGAATGTAGATCAATAGTATTACTTCCAGGGATGCCTGGGTGGCTCAGTCGATTAAGCATCTGACTTCGACTCAGGTCATGATCTCCCGGTTCTCAGATTGGAGCCCCTCATTGGGCTCTGCACTGACAGCTCAGAGCCTGCAGTCTGCTTCAGATTCTGTTGTGTGTGTCTCTGTCTGCCTGTCTGTCTGCCTCTCTCTCTCTCTTAAAAAATAAACAAGTAAATGTTTAAAAAAATACTATTACTTGCATGTCTTATGGTCTTTTGATATGAAACATTATTCCTATAGCTTTTACAGTATTACTTTAGATTAGACACATATAGTCATTGACCTAGATCCTCTGCATGAATGGTAGCCTGCACTTTTATTTCTGATTTAAATAAATCAGGATAATGAGAGAGGAGTTATAAATATTACCTTATTTTATATATTATAAATGGAAATGCTTGAGTTACAATAAATAGTGCATATTTTAAAAATTAAATAAATAATGCATATGTACTTATGAGTATCTTTTTTTTCCACTCTATTTTAGCATGGATGTATTTCAAAGATTGGGCTCAAATGCAGCTTTGACTTCTTCAAAAATAGCATCATTTGAGGAAGCATTTGTATATCTTCAAAAGTTAATGGCAGCTGTGAAGGATATTCTTGAAGGAATTCAGAGGTAACCACTAATTAATTTTGAAGTTTCATTTATTTTCTCTTTCTTCTAAGTTGACTAGCTTTCTTCTAAGAAATTTTGAAGTTTCATTTATTTTCTCTTTCTTCTAAGTTGACTAGAGGTGCTGGGAGCCTTTCAGCAAGATTTATAAGCTAATGACCTTTAGATTTCACTTCTCCCTCTCCTTTGCAAAGAATCCTCTATTTGTAGTTTGGACCACAAGAATGTTTCTAGTTTTTTCCTTTCTAGAAAAAACATACCAGGTTTGAAGCTTCGTAAAGAACTTTATTTTCATTATGGTGCATTCATTATGGTAGCTGTGAAAACAGTGCCTGGTGTATAATGGGCACTCAGTAATTACTTGTTGAAAAATAATGCTTAGGTAATTATCACTGCCCTTTAAATACAAATATATGTTAGTATTTGAATACAGTCTCACAGTACCACCAAATGAAGAAGTTTGAGACGCAACATAATCTTTTTTTTTTTTAACGTTTATTTATTTTTGAGACAGAGAGAGACAGAGCATGAACGGTGGAGGGTCAGAGAGAGGGAGACACAGAATCTGAAACAGGCTCCAGGCTCTGAGCTGTCAGCACAGAGCCCGACGCAGGGCTCAAACTCTCGGACCGTGAGATCATGACCTGAGCCGAAGTCAGACGCTTAACCGACTGAGCCACCCAGGTGCCCGAGATGCAACATAATCTTAATGATGCTTTGAGACTTATATTTATGTGATTATTTTAAATATTTGTGAGGCATATAGAAAACATAGTGCCAGAAAGCTGTAGAATGGACTATAACATAAAGTCAGATGTTTTCTTTTGCGGCAAGAAAGGAGAATACAAAGCTTAATCCTGCAATTATTTTGATATGTACCAAAATTGCTTGACCTGAGTTTAACATGCAGCTTGCTAACAGAAGACTACTCTTCTTTATAGATTAAAAAACAAAACCAAAAACTCAAAACTGATTTGATTTGATATTATGTCCAAATTTTAAAAACTTGGTATTTTTTAAAACAACAGTAGTTTTTGAGTTTTTTTCTTTTCTCTTAAGGGTTTTTGGAAACTTCATCTCATTGTTAATGCACAGAGCATTTGTACCACTTTTTGGATCACAGTTGGCTAAATGATTCTGAGAATAGCTTTTTGGGGGGCACCTGGGTGGCTCTGTCAGTTAAGTGTCTGACTCTTGGTCTATGTTCAGGTCATGATCTCACAATTCTCTGCACTGACAGTGTGGAGCTTGCTTGGGATGCGCTCTCTCTCTCTCTCTTTCCCAAAAATAAATAAATAAACTTTAAAAAAAAAGAATAGCTTTTTGGTACTCTTAAGTTACTAATGGATTGAAGAGGTGGAAGATCCCAAGGGCAAGTTAAATATTATCTCTAAGTACAAATAGCACCCCCCTTTTTTAATGTAAAGCAATACTAAATAAGAGTAGCTTTATGAGGGAGAAATATTCAATTTTTATTTTAGCTATGCAAAAGCTATTTCACATTCTAGGTTGCACAAAAGCCATTCTTGACACTACTTTTTTCTACAGAAAGTAGGGATAGCAATCTATATTCAATTACTCAAAAAATGTTTATCAAGTACCAGTTATCCTTGACATCATACCAGGCTCTGGGGCATCAAGGATGAATTCAGTGTGATCTCTGACTCCAAAGAGCTTGTGGAAATCACGCAGTCACGTTACAAAAGAAAATGAACAGGGGCTCCTGGGTAGCTTAGGTAAGTATCTGACTCTTGGTCTGGGCTCAGGTCATGATCCACGGTTTCATGAGTCTGAGCCCTGCATCAGGGTCTGTGCTGGCAGCTCAGAACTTGCTTGGGATTCTCTCTCCCCCTCTCTCTGTCCCTTGTCCCTGTCAGCTTGTGCTGTCTCTCTCTCAAAACAAAAAAACAAAAACAAACAAACAAACAAAATTTACAATAGAGTTGTTAATATTCTAATAGGAACATAAGCAGTGAGGAAGGAAAGGTTTGGCAGTAGATGACGTTGTAGGGGAATGTCTTGTGGGCCATTCAGAGCAGTGTCTGCTTTGTCCCATAGGCTACATGTTTAGATCTGTTAATTATGTGCCCAGACAGAAAGGTTTCTAATCCGAAAGCTTTGGAAATATTGTATACTACACTACTCTCTTGCAAAACCAATCTGTATCCATTTACATATTGATGGGTTTTATAAACCTTTGCTATAGAGAAACCTTTTTAGTTTTAGGAGCTTTAAACATACAGAATCTCTACAGAGATTCTGATGTGATTGGTTTAAATATGTGCCCAGCTATCAGGAGTTTAAAAATTTCTCCAGGTGATTCTAATATGTAGCCAAAGTTGAGAAGCACTAGTTAACTTTCTTAACCCGAGGTTCTCAGCAGGTACTGGCAGAATCAGCATCCTCATCACCACCTGGAACTTGTTATAAATGCAAATTCTCAAACCTTGCCAGACCCTACCAAGTGCAAAACTGTGAGGGGTGGGGCCCAGTTGTCTATGTCCTCCCGGTGATTCACTGCACATCAGAGGCTGAGAACCACTGGTTTAGTGGCTGACTATAATCATCTGGGAGCTTTAAACAAAGAACAGTGGCCAGCCTGACCCTAAACCTATTAAATCTGCTTCTCTGAGCATGGGACCTGGGCATAAGCATTTTTACAAACTCCCCAGGTGATTCTCATGTCAAGCCAGGATTGGGAAATTACAGCATGTAGTACTTACATAAACTGTGTCTAAAGAAGTAAATGTTTGAGTTTTAAGGATGATATAATTTTGTTATTCTTTCCTCCAAGGACACAATACCTCCAGGAACAAGAAAATATTAGTGGTTCTGCTACTTTTAGCACATTACCTGGAATAATAAATTTTCTTGAGCCTCTGTATTCATCTGTAAAAACGGCATAATAATACCTTTCAAAAGCTTTTCACAAAGTTCTTGTGCTTTGAAAGTCAGATGCTGATATAACTTACCAAACCAGCGATTCTCCACTTAATTGTTGGGGAACTTGTTAAAGATAGAGAGTTCTGGATTGTAGTGAAATCACAATATTTGTGGATATTTTTGTAGATGGAGGAAAGTTATAGTTTTAACAAGCTTTCCAGGGAATTTATAGGCCCATGGTGGGGGGACTGCATTAAAGAAACTGATCTAACTTCCTGTAATAAATATATTAGAACCACTTTTGCTACCAGTAGAGGGCATTGTGAATAAAAAAGTTTGCTCATTTCGGCATTCATTAATCTACAGGAAACTACTAAAATCGCGATGTTTTTCTTTTTTTAGCCCTTCAAACAATAGGCATTTAAATAAAAATGTAATAGAAGTGAATAATTATTTTTCAAGTGTATATGTAGTCTTAAAACCTTTAATAAACAATCATATTAAAATAAATTCAGTTAAAAATTTTGTGGGTGGCCTACTATGGGTAGATTTTTATATTTTTTAAACATTGAAAAATACACTCAACTTTTTTTTTATGTTAAATATAATTTATTGTCAGATTGGTTTCCATACAACACCCAGTGCTCATCCCAACAGATCACTCAACTTTGTAGTAACTGCATATTATTAGCGTTTTCTGATGCTTGTTAAAATGGAGTAGTTTCATTTGATTTTGAGATACATACCCAGTGAATATAGCCCAACTCTATTTTATCATAGCAAATCATGTATGATGTTACATTGGGAATCGGTGAGAAGGTGACCTGTTAACCAGGTCCTTCAGTTAAAGAAGTGAATGAAAATGTTTTTATTAAACTAAGAGTTTGGGCTTCTAGTTCCAGATTTATCCCTTTGTAGTTGACTTCAGGCTTGTCACTTACCCCTCTCTAACCCAGTTTCTCTCCTTACTGAGAATCCTGATGCCTTGTTTAGCAGAATAAATGAGATGATGTATGCGAAAATACTTTTTCAGCCATAACGTACTTACAACTGTTAGCTTTTGTTTTCTCCCTAAAGCTGATATGTTAAGTTTGAAATGTTCAAAAATATGTATTTCAATTTTAATGATGCTCTAAACATGATTCTGATTAAGGTGGAAAATATTGGTGGAGCAGTTGTCCATACGGTTATATAATGGGAGCAGAATACCTAAGTTTGCAAAAACTGAAAAAGAGGTGGGAATATTGATGATTCTTACACTTTCTGTATACTTTTTTCTTGGGTGGGAGAGTGAACTTAATTTATTTGCTATTGGTTTGGAAATTGCTTTTTACTTTCTCATCTTTCCCATTTTGTGTAGATAGGACCAATTTGAGCACTTTTGTTAATGGTTTCTTTATCTAAACACTAGAGAACCAGAGTCAGTACTCTTTCCATGTAGACAAAAGTGTATTAAGATTTTTTTTTTAGATCTGTACTATCTAGTGTCATTTTATGCTTTAGTAAGCATGATCAGGTTACTCTCAAGATCACAAAAACCTTTTGCTTGGTATATAAAGGTTATAAAGTTTCGTTTGAAGTGAAAAATTAATTGGAGAGTCATATGGCACATTCTAGAGAAGTTCTACTTCTATAGTAATCAAACAGCATTGTTAAATATTCGTGTACTTAGGGGCACCTGGGTGGCTCAATTGGTTAAGTGTCCTACTTCGGCTCAGGACATGATCTTATGGTTCGTGGGTTGGAGCCCCATGTTGGGCTCTGTGCTGACAGCTCAGAGCCTGGAGCTTGCTTCGGATTCTCTGCCTCCCTCTCTCTCTGCCCCTCCCCTGCTCATGCTCTGTCTCTCTCAAAAAATAAACATTTAAAAAATTATTTAAAATATCTGTTTGCTTAAACTGGCATCTCTACAAAGTTAACTAAACAGGTCATGTTCTCCAACTCCAAAGCATACCATAAATGTGTGTAGCTTTGGCTCAAAAGTTAATACTCAAAACAACAATGAAAGTGATTTAAGTATGTTTTCGTGTCTGAAGTAGATGATGAGCTGCCTGGTTTGGAAGCAGAGAGGAAAGTGGGGAGTGAACATAGGAAATTGCACTCTACCTAGATTTTATAAT